TGTAGGAGTTGTAATGCGGGGTTAGTGTGCGGTGGTGGGTAACGGGGGGCGGGGGGAGCCCCGTCCCTGCTCGGAGCCCCCCCGGGGGCCGCTCGCAACGGGCCGGGGCTGCTGTTCCCACCCGCCGCCGCCAGGTGGCAGCATTGAACTTCTCGAGGCACTGGGAGTACTGGGAGCACTGGGAGCCGCCGGGTCCCGCCTGGGTGCCGCACCTCGACCCCCCCGTGCTGGGGGGGCTGCCCTGGGCATGGGAGGAGAAGAAGGACAAGCAGGCTGTTGTGAGGGTCTTTGCTGGGTGTTGGGGTGGCATCTTGCACCCCCAGTGTCCCACCGTGACCTGCCCAGCTTGGGGACAGCAGCTGGTCGGAGGGTGCGCTGGCATCAGCTTGCAGAGGGGACCTTGTCCCCAAATCGCCAGTGCAATCCTTGTTGGCCCCCCGATAACTGCCATGTGCAGTTCCCCCATCATTAGCTCCAACCCCGGCAGCTACGGACGCTTCAGCCGTAGCTAATAAGGGAGAAACTCCGCTCTTGTGCATCTTGGCTTTACCTTGAAGTGTTAAGAATCAGTTTTTCTGGCTGCTTCGTTGCCGTCTGGAAAGTCTCTTCCCCCTGTTGATCACATGGTTTGAAGCATAACTTTCCCTCAACGATGTCTGATTCTTCCAAAAAAATAATCCTCCCTGGCAGAGGATGCTGTATGTAAAACCATCCATCACTTGTGCATTGCTTTCCAGTAGTTTGAAGTTTCCCAGGGATGTAGGCAGTTGCTTTTCTCTTTTTTTTTTTTTTTTTTTTGTCCTGGAAAGCAAACCTCGGCAGGGAGAAGGGAAGGGACTTGGCTGTGGTGGTGCAGGTGGATGCTGCTCTCCCCAGTAAATGATGCTGTGGGGAGGATTTGGGGGATAAGCAGAGCCAGAGCCCTGCCTGGCTGTGCCGGGGGGATGCAGGCTTTGCATTTGTGACCCTGAAAACAGGAGCAGGTGAGTGAACCTGCCCAGGCTGGGCTTGGGAGCTGGCTGAGCGTCACTTGTCCATGTTTATTTTGGGATGGGATGCTAGCTGTGGCACTGGGTGGCAGGCAGGTCCCTGGGGAGCCCGTCGCAGAGGGCCGGCAGCTCCCGCTGGCATCGGGGCTGGCTGATGGCTCGTCTCCGCTGGCAGATTTGGCACTGTTTCCTTCCAAGACAACTCGGCACATCTTGCGCTGAGGCGGCATCTGAGGACACGGGCCCCGCTGCTTCCCTTGGTTTGCATTTATTCTCTCCTCCGGCCTTCGCCAGAAACACGTCCCCAGCTCCGCACGGCCAGGAGCCTTCCAGCTTTTGCAGCCTGCAAACTAGGGGCTTAATTTTGGGCAGGGGGCTGGACGGCCTTAAATCAGTTGCAGAGAACCGGCTCTGAATTGCCTCAGGCGTTCTTTATAGGAATATATATTTTTCTTACTCCTGAACCTGTAAGAATGCTCTGGGATAATCTTTTTTTCCCCAAAAAAATCACCTTAAAGTGAGTGGGAACAAGAGTTGCCTCATCCTGTGCCAGGGCGTGTGCAGGCGATGGGGCTGCTTTTTATTGTTTACAATGGGATTTCTAAGGTCAGGGAACTTGATTTTTTTATTTTATTTTTATTCCCAAGTGAGAATGGGAAACCTCACTTTGCTAAAGTTATCTCATCTATATGTGATGCTTCCCAGCACGGCGGGGTGCTATGGCCCTGCTGAGGCTCGGTGATCTTGTGGATGGAGTGGTGAGAAATGGGCTGGGTAAAGGGCTGGCTATGCTTTTTCCACCAAAATCAGTGGCAGAAAAACTCGGGGTTTGAGTATGAAAACTTGTGTGGGAAGTGTCTGCTTTCTGTAGAATGCTTTGTCTCTTCAAGGAAAAAAAAAAACCACCAAAAAAGCCAAATGTGGAGTGTTTGTTTTTATCTCTGGAAATATTTATCAGATATTTATCAGTTTTCCGAGGCGGGGATGGGACATCTCCCATCCTTGTTCCAGATGCAGGTAATGGGTCTGGCGGGGGCTGCGTTTCACCCTGCCTGTGCTGAAGTCCCTGCTCGCAGCCTTGGTGTTTGTGGGTGAAGGACCCTAACGGGGGGCGGCATCTTGCAAAGCTGAGCTTTGCTAGGCATCTCCCACTGCTTGGCCTGGGGGATTTTAATCCATCATCTTATGTCTGTTTATAGGGTTTTTACATATACTGGTGCATATCCAGTTTAGACGCTGGGGTGTTGCAGCCAGCTTTATCAAACAGCCCTTTTACTTCCCAAAAGACCCATCTTTGTTTTTTTTGCCGTCACATCTGGCTGCTATCTCCGTGAGCAGCACGCTCAGGCAAAGGAATAAGAGATGCCCCGCCAGACACGGGAGGCCAGTGACTGATGGTTTGGGTACCCTGGAAACCCTTTAACTGCTGGGCACAGATATACAAACCTGCCATATGCACGGCTTGGGCATGTGGGAAGCATCCGTCCCGCAGCCCTGTGCTGGAGCAGAGCAGCCAGTTGGTCCATCCTGGTGTCGCAGAGATCTGGGCGGGTGTGAGATGCAGCCCTGCGATGATGAGGATGCTCTGTCCTTGCTGGGAGACTCCTCCGAGTATCCGACAACTTGCTCTGCAGGCATCCCGTTGCATCCCTGCTGCAAAGATGTGACACGGCACAAACACTAAACGCAGCCATTAAAGGATCTGTCGGCATCTTCCCGAAAATCCCGGCAGAGGAGTTGCTGCCAGGCCCTTTCCCGGGCCAAAGAGGAAATAGGAGCGGAGCGGAGAACATCTGGATAGATGGGAAATGCGCCCTCCTTGTCCTGCCTCAATATTGCTTTGCTCAACCAAAAATAAATTGGAAAAGAAAATTGGACATTGCATCAATTTGGGGCAAGTTTATAAATTCTGCAGCTAAGCAATCCCAATAGAAAATGATAGATCGCCAGCGAGCACGCGGCCCCTGCCGTGATGTATAGTCGCATTAGCCGAAATGCCGTGTTACATGATTCTGTTTTATTACCACTGTTGGTGGCAGACAGAAAAACAGATTACACTTGAGATCAAATCGATAGAACTTTATTTACTGGCCTTTTAAAAACATATTTCTGCACTTTATAAAAACATACGGTAGATGCTATTGATAGAACTTGTCTGCTTGTTAAAAAGCAATTTACCCGCCACGATGTTCTCAAGCTGCAGTTTATGGCACTACCTTTTACCTGCTCTTCCAGATTTGTTTTCATCACAGGGTTTGACGACTTCCTTAGAGGTTTCTTTGGGCTGTGCTGTTGCTCTTTTAGGGTGCGGGGAAGGGGTAGGCCTTGCTTTCTGGCTGAGGAGACAGATGTCTCAGAAATAAAGTGCTTTTCTCAGGGTTCCTACCCCTAACTGAACTTTTTTTTTTAAACTTAAACTGTTTTTTGCAAGAACCCTCTCCTGTCCAAACCAGTCTGAGAAAACAACTTGCACATCCATGAGCTAGAACTTCTTTCTGCAGCTGGACAGATCACCACCTTTTCTCTGCTCTTTCAAGACTTGTACATTTCCATAGTATCTTATTTAAAACCATTTCCATGCCAGAACGAGCTGGAGCTGAAAAGGCAGCTGAAAAAGCCCCCCCCAGCTGTGCAAATTATGGGATGATGTCCTCAGGGGTTGCATCAGGCTTAATGCAGCGGCAGCTTTTTGTGCCTAGACCTGTACCCAGCACCCCGGGGTGCTGCTCTGGGGCTGGAGAGCCAGGGCGATGCCCTGCCATGGCGCAGGGTGGGAGGACGAGCCTCTCCCAGGAGCTTGGGCTGTGCCTGGAGTCCGTGGCTAAGTCCAGCCTTGGCCCTGACTCTCCTCCTTTTGTGAGCCCTTGGTTGGGGACAGTCCTGATTTATAAAGGTTTCTGGGCTCTAGGGTCTGGGGCTCATTATTTGGAAAATTACTTGTATGGGGAAATTCATTAGTTTTTAACAAAAGGAGGAGAAGGTCTGCTTAATCTCCTAATTGGGATGTGCTCTAGTTGTGTCAGGCAGTGATTTGCAGCTGGCTGGAAGAAGGGGCTTTTGAGCGGCGCCCAGGTTAAATTCAAGTCTCATTAAAGAAGACGGTTTTAAGCAGAAGATTCCTGACAGTTTGTGTATCCTTGTTGGCTTGTGGAACCGTTTAGGGTGAAGGAGCCACCAGTGTGTTTTTTCTCTCAATCCTGTCTGGGCTACTTAAAAAAAAAAACAATGGCCCAACATTCCTTCCCGATGCTGTCAGCCAGATATTATGGGGATTAGCCCAAGCCCCTGGTGATGAACCCCTCCCTTTTGCCCTGCTGGAGCTGATGCTGGTTTGGGTTCCCATGCCCTGGGACCGCGCCGTGGCATACCAGCATCCCCGACTTCAGAGGGCTGCCAGCCCAGCGGCTCCCCGGAG